TCCCCGCTCGGCGCGGGGTGATGCGGGCAGGGCCGGGGCAGGGGTAGGGCCGGGCAGGGCAGGCAGGGCAGCAGGTAGGACAGCAGGTAGGACAGCAGGCAGGGCAGCAGCCGTGCGGCCTTCCCGGCTGGGCTGCGGTCCCCGTGCTTCTGTCTTCCAGAAAATGGCAGTTAATGTGTATGCGACTTCAGTGACTATTGATAACTTGAGTCGACATGACATGCTGGCGTGGATCAACGAGTCTCTGCAGCTGACACTGACCAAGATCGAACAGCTGTGCTCAGGTAAGGGGCTCAGTGCCACCTGGGAGCTGCCCAGCTGCTGCTGCCCCGGGTAGACCCTCTGAGCTGTGCCCTGGGTGTGAGCAGGTTCATGGTCAGGGGTATGATCTGGTTGTGGTTGGAGTTTTGTTGAAATGCTTGTTAATAACATAAGCATCATGAAAAGGCACGTTCTTCTGACTCACTGTGGCACAGATTAAATAAGAGGGACTGGGGTTTAATGTGGAGAAAAGACTCTTAGGAGAGAGTGTGTTCCAGTAAGGAGTCTTGATGGATAGGGTAACTGCTGCATGTGTGGGAACTAGCATAAACAAATGTGAGTTTCTGATGGAAGAGAGTAGTTAGGAGATCTGGGATCTGCCTGAAGATTCTGTTTGGGCAGAAGGCATCTTGGTGACTCTGGCATTCCCCCTCAGGACTTTGCAGCTCCTCGTGGCAGAGGAGTGTGTCTGTCTGTGTCATCTGAGCTCCCTGTGGCTTGTGCTGACTTCAGCACAGCTGAAACTCTGGTAGAGTTGTAAGCAGAAAAGGGGAAGTGATTGTGATACAGAAATGGAGTCAAGTGTTAATGCAGGGAGGAGTGTGTGTGGGAGGAGACTTGTGGAAACGAACAAAGAATTAAAGTCTGTGGAGTAAGAGCTGCAAAAAACCCAAGGCTAAAATGGAGCCTTGGTAAAAGGTGGTGATTTTGGATAACTGCAATAGGCAGGTGAAAGGTCTTGGTGAAAAGTGGGAGTGCAGCTCATACAGTGAGTTTGAGAAGCTTTTGCTCACAGAATGAGAGATGTGGACATTTGGGTGGAATAAAAGAAGGAATAAGTTTAAGTTTGGGACTGTCCATACAGCCTGAGGCTGAGTCCATGGATGAAACATTCACAAAGACCAGAGACAAAGGGAAATTAAATTAAACATCTGACAGGTGTTTGTAGTGGTTTTTGTCTAGTGAGTTGATGGAGAAAAACTGTGAGGATGGAGAACCTAAACCTATGGAACCTACTGCATCCATAAAAATGTGGGAAGTTATAAGAATTGTCCACTTTCAGACAGGCAGATGAAAAAACCTGCTGTGTGCTGTGCTGGTTTATACTGCTGAGAAGTTCTGCTTAGAACTGGTGTGAGTCTTGCATTCTGTGAGAAATGAGGGTAATTAATTCTGAGTTTCTGCAGAAACTCATCTCACCTGTTGTCAGGGAGAGCCTGAGAGCTGTTGATGTGGTATGTGCTGAGTAACATCCCATTCCTGTGCTGCAGAAATCCCTGGTGCCTCTGCAGGTATGGAAGTGGCTTTTCCTGTCATAGTCAGGTGAAAACCTGAGTTTCCAAGCTTGCTTTGCTGCCCTGGACAAGGGCAGTGGTGACATCAGGAGTCAGAGGTTGCCTCAATGCACAAAATGTGACCTTAGCCTTAAGCTGTTCTCTCTTATCATGCTCACTGCTCAGACTGCCCATAGTTGGCAAAACCCTGACTTCTGGCCAGTCATCTGATTTTTTTTATATTTTTTTTTTTGAGCTGGGTGTGGGAGTTTTTCAGCAAGTGAACTGAGAGGCAGTGGAGATGAAACAGCAAGAATTGTAAAAATTATTATTTATTAGCACCAGTGGATGAGCAGCATTTTAGTAGCAGGTGAAAGTAGGAGCCCCAGAGACCTGCAAAATCTCTTGATAGGAAGTGACCTCTCCGTTACCTGTGGTTGAGTTGAAGACTAGTTCAGAGCAACCCCATGATGTTTGGCTCTTGCCTCCAGATACCTCACAGAGTCTTGTATGTCTGTGTGTGATGGTTTGGATTGAGGTTCCTGGTACTCTCTGTGTGTGCTTAGTCCCTTGACACTGGTGGGGGGTGTTTAATGCTCACAATGTTTCACTCACATTTCCAGTTGGCAGGCAGTTGCACATCATCCCTGCAGAGTCAGGAGTTAACAGGTGTGTATGTTCTACAGAAGTGTCTTTTTTTGGAGGTGACTGTCTACTCTTTGTGGCTGAACTGAATCCTTCTCTGCTCTTATGTGACAGTAAGAGCCAAATTGAAGGACATGAAGGATTTAAAATTAATAAAAAGAAACACTGTCTCACTTCAGTTCTTTAAGTCTTGATTTAAATATAATCCAGCTTAATGTGGCCTCTTACTTTTGAGGGCATTTTGAATTATGTAAAGATTCTGTGTGTAGTAAGTAAATGTATCACTGTTCTAGTAATGATTAAACAACTTTTAGAAGATTTATTGTTCTAGTTTAGTTCTGTTAGTGTTGGTAAGAGGAAGTTACATGTCTGTGTAACAGTCAGATCACTCCTTGAATTGTTTTCTTACTGGAATTCTGGAGGCAGGGTTGCTCTTGTCCATGAGAGCTCAAGCCTTGAGACCAAAAGTTTGGCTCTGCAGCTCAGCTCAGGGCATTTATGGCCACGCTGCACCAGCACAGGAGGCTGAAGGTTCCTGTATTCTTGCCTTTGTTTCCTTTGAGGGGTTGTGCAGCTGAGGAATGAGTCAGGTCAGTTTGCAGATCTGACTGAGGGTAACTTGGGTAGGCTGGTGAGGTGGCTTGATTCATCCTGGGATTTGTTCTTTTCCTTTTGGCAGGTACTGCATACTGTCAGTTCATGGACATGCTCTTCCCAGGGTCTGTAGCACTCAAGAAAGTGAAATTCCAAGCCAAGTTGGAGCATGAATACATTCAGAACTTCAAGGTTCTACAAGCAGGTTTTAAAAGAATGGGTGTTGACAAAGTAAGCTGGGTTGTAACTGGTTCTTTGGGCTCTTGATATTAAAATAGATGGAATGTGCTTTCAAACTTGAAGCTGGAAAAATCTGGGAACGGAGTTTGCTTTTGGTTTGCATTGAGGTCCTTGATTGATTTAGGACAACATCTGCTTTATTCCAGCTAAGATTAGGTTTCCAGTCCTTAATGGTGAGATTAATTGTTCCATTTTAATTCTGTGCAACTTATGTAGCACTGACTGATCCTGATATTTCTGTGGGATAAAGGTTTATTTGAGCCTTCCTGTTTGAGCCATCGTTGTATCAGGTACATCCCCATAACCCATGGCTGTGCTGGTCAGACCTGAGCATTTCAAATTCCTCTTTCTAATAATTTGAAGCTGAAGACAAGACCTGTTAAAATTTTTTTTTCCAGATTGAACCATTGCCATGCCTGTGGAAGGGTGGTTTGTCTAGGTAACAGCTACTGGCAGCATGTTTTTTGTGATGTGGAACACTCCTGTGTTCATGGCTCTTCTGCCTGGGGGAGCAGCTGCAGGATGGCCAGGGCTGGGCAGCTCCTGCCATGTACCAGCTCCTGCCCTGCAGACAAGACCTCACCATTTGCTGCATCTCTTTAATAATCCTCACTTACACTCCCCCTTCCAGAGGTCCTGTGATGGTAATTTACTAGAGAGATCCAGTCTTGTCTCAGCTCTGCGTGTTGGCAGCCTGGGAAGTGGGTCAGCTTTTGGGATCCAGGACAGCTGGGACTGGAGGAGTCAGCTGCAGATTCACAGAAAGAAGTTTTGTGTAGAAACTTGGTCTAGCAGAAACCTTCCTGCAGAATGATTTCAAATTATTTGGACCCTCACAGTGAAAGCATGATTTGTTTTAAATTCCAATTATTAGCACAGATTCTACTATTTGACATTGTTATGTTCAAGGAGGATTTTCTCTAGACTGGACAATTCCATTTGCATGTCTTCTGAGTGCACTGATTTTAAAACTTTATATAAAAAGAGAGATATTTACCCTTAATATGTGTTTGATCTTTGTTTTTTTTGGTTTTTTTTTCCCCTTCCAGATAATTCCCGTGGACAAACTAGTGAAAGGAAAATTTCAGGACAACTTTGAATTTGTTCAGTGGTTCAAAAAATTTTTTGATGCAAACTATGATGGGAAGGAGTATGATCCTGTTGCTGCTCGACAAGGCCAAGAGACAGTAGCACCAAGCCTTGTTGCTCCAGTTGTGAATAAACCCAAGAAATCTCTCAGTTCTAACAGTGCAGGTAGAGAAAATAGCTAAAAGATTAACTAGATCATGAAAAACTCTGGCAGAAATAAGACTGGGATGCTGTTTAAAAGCAGGGTGTGCAATGATAGTATTTTGCAGAGATGCTGGGCTTGAGCCATCCTGTAGCACCCAGGTATCTGGAAGCTGCAGAAAGAAGAGTCTTGTCTAAAAGGGGAAATGGGAGGGATTAGTGCCCACACGTGCCCAAAAAAGGGGACATGTCACGTGGAATCCAGAAGGAAGGGACATACCTTCAAACCCTTGCATGCTTAAGCATGTTTGGAAGGGAGGATGGTACCTTTGTAGGAGGAAGGAAGATGTTCTGAGAGGAACTGACACTGACTTGCTGTTGCAGCCCCACAGAGGCCCATGGTCACACAGAGGACTGCAGCAACTCCAAAGGCTGGGATGGTCAAAAAGGCTGGAGGGGATGAGGAGTCAGCAGTGTTGATTGAGCAGGTGCGTGGACTAGTGGGCCCAGCTCTGAGCTGTGCTGGGCAGATCCATCTGCAGGGTCTGCTTTGTAGTGTGTGAAGTGACTGGGGTGGAAGAGAACATTCTGACTCTAGTAAGGTCACTTAATCACTTGATCAGCAGCCTTCCTTGTAACAGTCTCGTTCTCCCGGCAGGAGCAAAACCCTTTTCTGCAGTGCACGAGTGCCCAGACATTTAAAGCTGGCTGTGCCATGTCACACATAGCAGTGTTTTTAAGGATTTCCACAGCTGTGTTGTAGGGATCACAGCATTCCAACTGAGCTATGAGCAGCTGCTCCTTCACTGCAGTACTGAGTGTAGTACAGCTAAAACTGCCATCAGCCTGACTTGTCTTGAAGGAACGTGTTAGCAAAGAAAACTGCAGGCAGTTGGTGTTCTACCTGTCCCATGTAATAACCTTGAGAGTGTTCAAGTGCTATTGCATGTCTTGGGCTGGGTGTTGTGGCAATAATACTGCAGTTTGAGAAACAGACCTTTTGTTCCTCAGTCCCCTTCTCCCCCCCTCTTGGTTACTTCTGGAGTCCTTTGCAGATGAACACCCTTCTGAGAACTTTGGGGACCCTGCCTTTTGAACAGATACTGCTGAGTTCTCTCTTTGGTGGATACTTTTTTTTATGCCCTTTGGCAGATCAATGTATTGAAGCTTACTGTTGAAGATCTGGAGAAGGAGAGAGACTTCTACTTTGGCAAATTGAGGAACATTGAGCTGATCTGCCAGGAGAATGAAGGGGAGAACGATCCAGTGTTGCAGAGGATTGTGGAAATTCTTTATGCCACAGATGTAAGTAATCTGGTGTGAAGTGTATTATTGCATAGTTCTTCCCTCCCCTTGGGATTGGAAGCTGCTTTGCTTTCCAGGACTCCTCTGTTCCCCCTTGCTTTTTCCCCTTTAGGTTTATGGCCTAGCTTTTTCCTGTGTAAAGGAACAGGTCACAGTTCTGGTCAGGCAGCAAGCAAGGTTTAGCCCTTCCTGCACAGTGCATAACAAACAGAGCAGAGATGAGGGAAATAACTCTTCTGGTCATGCATTGTGACACTGTAAATGGTGACTTTAGGCTATCTATTTAAGTAAAGAAAAGCATACAGAGTAGCCAGGAACTGGTTTGACATCAGCTTTCAATTAAAGCACTTATTTTATTCCCCTTCAGGAAGGCTTTGTGATACCTGACGAAGGAGCACCACAAGAGGAGCAAGAAGAGTATTAACAGACCACATACTGTACCAGCAGAGCAGCAACATCAGAATTCTTTGCCCCAGATCATGTGCTTAACTGTAAAATACTCCACTTTATTCTTAGAGGACTCACTGGTTTCTTTCCATAGCAAAAAAAAAAAAAAAGTACCTCTTCTTAAAGTGCACTTTGAGGAAGCTTCACTTCTTACAGTGGGTTTGAGTCAGGAGCTCTCTTCTAGCAGAGCAGTATTCACACCTAGGTGGTAACTGAGGGAGCAAGAGGCTGAATATTGGGAACTTGTTGCAGAATGGTTTGCTGTTAAAATCACTGGTTTGTGGGAAGACTCTTCTTATGTCTGAGGTGGTGTGTGATAGAGAAGTTAAAGACTCTGACTCACGGGAAGGTTGAGTTAATGTGAAATTGCAGCACAGAAATTCTAATAAAATGCCTTAAGAGTATTTAAAATATGCTTCCTTGTGCCAAATGGGAGTGATGGGCCAGGAGATTTTATGTGCTTCGTGCTGGGGTTGGTGCCTGTTGAACTCCATTCCCTGCTGTCTGGGAGGCCTTGCTGGCATCCCACCTGGTCAGCAAGTGCTCAGAAGGGGCTGTTAAAACAAAACTCCATCCTTGTGTAAAGCTGCTTACTGTGTGATTAGTTCTTGATGAAATGGGCCTTAATGTTGCCTGTCACAAGATTAGAGGGAGTATGAACAGCTGAGACACATAAGTTACCTTGGAGAGGGGCTGAAGGCCCTTCCTGTGGCATTGTGGCTAGTGACTCTGCCAGAACGTACTGTGTTTTCTGTAAGAAAAGCAAGAAACCAAAACAACAGAAAAAGCAACAGGCATCCAAGTCCTCCTGCCTGAAATGTTCTTCAGAGGCAATTTTCCTTCCTGGCTCTTGTTTCTATTTGTCCTGTTTATTTTTGTTGGTCTCTCACTTGTTCTTTTCTCTTTCCCATCCCAAGGAATGCTGATCAAATCCAATAGTTGTAACAGGACTCAGGCTGTGCAACTATCTTGGAGTGAAAGTGAATTGAGCACATGAGGATGATGATGGTTTTTATCTTTCCACCCCCCCCTTTTTAAACCAGGACATATCCAATAACAGTACTTGCCAGTTCACTTTTCTTCTGGGGTAAAAACTAAAAGATGCTGGCTAACAGAGCTAATGTTATTGCAGAAAATACAGTACTGAGACTAACTTAAATATTAATATTTAAAGTACTTTCTTTACCTGTCCTTTTTTGCTATCATGCCCCTCATTACTGTTGTGTTTGGCAAGATCCTGCAAGACTTCTGATCCCCCTTCACTACTGAGATTGATGAGTCCTGTTGTGCTTGTATCCATTTGTTTCTGGTGGTAGCTTGTGCTAAAATGTGTGTAGGAGAGCATCTTATGGTAATTGTTGTGTAGTGCATGAATCTTTGTGAAATTCAGAGGAAAAACCCAAATTCAGTGAATGCCAAAAATGCAAGTATCTAGCCATTGTTTAAAACTGCAGTGGTGCTATTTCTCTTGTGGCCTTTCAGACTTTTGTTGCCCTGAAACTCCATTTTACTGAGGAACCATATTTGACTTGGATTTTTCTTGACAGGGTTTTTCTATTTTAAGCAGTTTCTAAATAAAGTTCTGTATTTCAAGAGTGTCATGTCTACTGAAGTCTCTCGTGCTTTCATACACCATGAGGCAAAGCTAAAGCTGGTGGTAGTTTTCGTGGTGAAGCTTGCAGGACCTGCAGGATCAGCTGTCATTCTCCAGTCCTAGTTACAATCCTTCCTGACTCAGTAGCAGTAATGGTGGAACTGTTCTGGGGAAGCCACTGCTGGAGGTTTGGGGTGGTTTTCTCCCCCCAGGTGGATGAAATGCCAGTGGATTGTTGGCTTCCTCCTCCTGATGGTGTGAGAATGGGGCTGTGAGCCAGGAATGCTGTCACATGGCTATGTTTGAAGTGCTTTAAAACTGCTAAAACGGCGCTGGTGACAAGGTGTTAAGGGTGCTGGCTGCACCCAGCAGGGTGTTCCCTTTGCAGCAGGTTGCAGATGAGTGCACAGACCAGCAGCTTCTGGGAGGTGCTTATGTGGTGCCTCCTCTGGTGCTGGAGCCCCCCCTGCCCCCGGGTGCTCTGGGTGCCTCCCTGCTCCAGGGCACAGGCCCTGCTGCTGTTGCACAACTGCTGCTGGGCAGTGCAGTGATGAAGCACATAAAATCTTCTTGGCCTTACTGGCCCCATACTGGCTTGCAGGTCGGAAGCATATTTTTTCAACTCTATGTCATTCCATTATTCCAGCATTATTCTGCTATTCCGGCCACTCAAAAGATGGTAATAGCATGTGGACTCGTGGGTGTCTGCTCTGTGCAGCCTGGCTGTGCCCTGGGTCCTGGTGCTGCAGGTTTCTCTTTAAGAGGCTGGTGTGTGTGTAAGGGTGAAGCAGCCAGGTCATCAGATGGGTTGGACTAGGTTGGTTTTGGTCTCTGCTGGCAAAGCAAGGAAACATTTATGCTGAGTGAATAATGAGTCAGAAGTTCTGCTGGTTGGCACCATGTGAGACTGTTGAATGTGTGGACCTGTTGGATGTGCATGATACAGCTACGTGGAAGTTGCAGTCGTGTCAGATGCTGCTGAGGTTTCCAGTTCCCTGCGTCCCTTCTCTGCTACCAAGATGAGTTATAAATAGAATGGGAAGAAACTCATGTGGTCAGGTTCTGACTACTTTATAGATACCTTGGAATCATCTGGGTTTTAATGTGCTTTTTGGGAGGAGAATAACAATAAGTCCAACTCAAACCCTTAGACTTAACATGGCTACTCTGTCACTCTGGTACAGTATGTGCTGGGAAATGTTACAGCTCACCTGCCAGGACAGGTCCATGGCATCCAGCCTGTCCTACTGGCTTAGTTTGATCAGATATTTGAAAAATTAACAGAATGGAAGCAACAAGCTCACATCTCCTTTCTGTACCAACATGTCTTAGTTGCAGGTGGACTTGTGGATGGTTTTTTTAAACTTTTATTGTTCAATTTTTAAAAAAGATTCCTGGTTTGCAATGACAATTCTTACTGTAACTGTTAAAAGCCTTCAAATAAAGGCCAGAAACTTGCTTGGTGTTGGATCATGTCACTGTCTCATGTGGCTGCTTGAGCTCCTGGTCACCTTGGAGTCTACCTAGTCGAATGTCCATCCCTGGGGATGTGTGTCCTTCAGGGGAGGGAGTGTCCCCTCCAAGGATAAGGGTATCTTTTGCATGTGGGGCTGATGGGGGCTGCAGGGTGGGTCTGCAGCCAGCCCGGGGGTGGGTGGGCTGTGTCTCCCCATTTTTGGGCAGAGCAAGGAACAGGGGATGGGATGAGGGTCTGGGCTGGATGTGTGGGCACTGGCAGGGAAATGGGGACGTGCACTGGGCACCAGGGCATTAGCTGGACATGTTAGCTGGACATGTTAGCTGGACAGCTGGACAGTCTGGATCTTCTGATGCAGAGGAAGCAAGGAGAGGAGGTGGCTGCAGATCTACTGGTGGTTAATTGGAATCGACCTGCAGGTGCTGGAGCCTGCAGCTGGGGGTGCCTGGGACATGGGGAGCAAAAGGGCAAGTGGTGACTTTGCAGGAAGGAGGCCTGGATAAACTGTTGGTGAGTGAGATCTCCTGGGGTGGGGTTTTGTGTCTGTGACTGTGGGTTCTTCACAGATGTTTGTTTGGACAGTTAATGGGCCTCAAATCTGAGGAAGGAATGTGAAATGAAGGTGGCTGGAGGGCAGGGAAGGTGTGTGTGGAAGCAGAAATTGGAGGATGCTGCAGCTCCAGGAGAACAAGATAAATGCATGGGAACAAACTCATGCCATGAAATGGTAGAGACAAAACTGTAAAGAAAGGAGTCTGAGGTGGGAGAGCACTTAAGGAAAGGAAGGAAACATGCAAAATTCTGTGGCTGAAGAGGAATGATGTGTGCACAGACCCTGGAGGTGGCTGGGTGGCAGTGCTGCAGAGCAGGAGTGAGCTCCAAGAAAACCTCTCATTTTCTTTTTAGTAAAGAAGGAACAAAGTTCAACTTGACATTTTCCAAGACCAAAAAGGAAGTTTCCAGAAGGTAATCCCAGCTCTGAGGAGGCAAAATTATTCTCTCATTTTCTGTAAAAATTATTCTCTAATTTTCAGCACAGCTGGCTTTTTGAACTGTGTCCTTTAAATAATATATATATTTTTACATGTATATATTTCTATGCATAAATATTTAAAACACATATGAATATTTAAATAATATGAGTAAACTTATTTAAAATGAAATACGTTTTATATCTCTATAAATCTCTCTGGCTGACCTCTCAGCTCTGTGGGAACCACGGGCTGGTGTCATGTTTGTTTCTATGAGATGTTTTTCAGACATTTTCCTCTTGAAAACAGTTGAGTGAAATGTTTGTCTGTCAGTCTTCTCCCAGTGCTCTGACTGATTTTGTCCCCAGGGGATGCACAAGGATGAATGGACATTCAGGAGGCATTAACTCCCAGGGGACAGCACGGATAGAAAGCTCAACATCCTCAGAGATCCACAGATTGCTATTTATGAAGTGATGAGCAGATGAGGTTCAAATGAAGGGAGAGCAGAAGTGGGTCCATTTTCAGAACCTGACTGCAAACCTGTGTTTTTGGCTTTCCTCTCCAAGAGCAGCTTTCTGGGACAGAAAGGAGGGACTGTGGCAGTGGCTGTCGAGATGGTGGTGACCTCCCCAGCAGCCCCAGGGGAAGGCTGGTGGTGGAGCAGTCACCCCAGGACCTGTCTCCCTGTGCATGCACAGGGGAGGTGGGAACAGAGGGGACAAGGCTGAGCAGCACCACGGGGAGTGACAACCAACTGACACCCTGCTGGAAAGTGGGACACAAGAACTCCTGGTGGCTTCCTTCTTTTTCAGGTGAGGCTGCTCTTTCTGACCTTCCCTAGAAATTCCAGTTGCAGTAGATCCTTATTAAACACTTGGATAGATATGAAGAGCTTAACAGCTCTGTTTCCTCATGTATAATAAAGGAGAGATCCTCCTCCTTCCTGCTGTGTTAAGGTTGGTCCAAGTCCTGTGGGGCCTGGGGGTGAAGCTGTGGGTGCTGAGTGTGCAGGGCTGGGCATGGCCACCCTGATAGTGTTATCTGGGCTGGCTA